AAGAGTGATAAGGGTTTGGAGAATTACTTTGGGGGTGGCGGCGAGGCATCGGCGCGGGGACTTGCGGGGGGGCGAGGAGGGGTGGGAGCGGAGCGTGCGCTTGGCGGCGATGACTGGCATTGTTGGTGGGAGCGGAGAAGAGTGAAGGGTTAGGGTTTTGGAGAGAGTGGGAATGGGAAGGGAAGGGAGAAGAGATGATATAAGATTTGGAGTTGAGCGGGAAAACCATGGCAATGCGAATTGGCGCGCGACCTTTCCCGCGTCACTCGTCAAATCATTCACATTTCACTCGCTGCCGCTCGAATATATCATATCCTATGCTAAAACACTCAATTTTAAATCCTTCCTCATGTTTAAAATATCCGTTAAATATTTATATACTATTAATAATGCTAATATATTTTCGTTGTGAATACATTTTATTTACCTGTTTTTGTTTTTTTTCAAAATGTTTTTTCTCTCTTATATTTTTATATAGTTTTTAATTTATTTTTTTTTATAAATTTACTTTTTAAAACTTCTCACACTTTTTAAATAATTATTCTAAATTATTAGCTTTTTTAAACTTTAACTATTCTTTTATCATTTATTTTATTTTTATGTTTAAAAAATATATACAGATATATGTAGTACTTTTTATGTTAATATATATAATATTCGTTAATATATGTCTTAAAAAACCGTTAATTTATATATATATATATATATATGAATTTGATTATAATATTTTTGAAAATATTTTTAATTATAAAGACTTGATTAGAAGCTTGATGAAATTATCGAGACATGCACCTTAATTTAACCTTAAAAAATAGTTCTAAATAATAAATTAAATTAAAATATAAATAAAATTTAATCTATTTCACTTTTAATAACACAAGCATATATAAGAGCAACTCTCATCCTTGTTTTAGGCAATAAAAAAAAAAATGTTGTGTTTGGATAGAAAAGTTTGAGAGCAAATTTTTTTTAATTTAAAATGTATTGAGACAATGTGTACACTAGCAAATACCTTTAAAAAATTATGCGAATTTTTTTATTGATGTGATTTTTAAATTTGATCGTGTATATATTTGATTGTGCAGTAAATTTACTTTTGATTCTCATGTAAAAATGAATCTCTTGTTAGATATATCCTCATCTCTTCTCTCTTCTCTCTCCATATATATGTGTGTGTGAGAGAGAGATTTACTTATTTTTGTTTTACATTAAATTTTAATAATTTAATTATTAAATTAAAATTTTCTAATGCATATTTTGTGAAATTATAAAAAAGTAGTAATTATCAGAGACGAACTGTTCAAGCGTGGAATCTCCATCCCTTTGCTCAAATGCTTGAATGCACCTCAAGCCGCTTATGTCATCGAGGAGATCCACTGAGGTATATGTGAAATGCATTCCGGAGCGCGCTCGATGGCAGCTAGGGTACTCTGGGCTGGGTACTACTGCCCACCTTGAAGTCAGATAGCTAAGTCTACGTGCAAAAATGCAAAGAGTGCCAGCAGTTCGGCAACGCGCATCGACAACCACCCGAAGCTCTCCACCAAATGATGTCCCTGTGGCCTTTCGCCCAGTGGGGAATGGACATCCTAGGACCGTTCCCCCCTGCGAAAGGTCATCTCAAATTCCTCTTGGTGGCAATCGACTACTTCACCAAGTGGATCGAAGCGTGCCCACTCGCTAAGATCACCACTGAGAATATACGGAAGTTCACCTGGAAGAGCATCATATACAGGTTTGGAATTCCGCATTCCCTTTTCACTGATAATGGCCGACAATTCATTGCGCAAAGCTTCAAAGACTTCCTTCGGGAACTTGGAATTAAGCACCTCCCGACCTCGGTGGAACATCCGCAAACTAATGGCCAAGTCGAAGCTGCAAACAAAGTGGTACTCCGAGAGCTTAAGAAGCGGCTAGGGAACGCCAAGGGACAATGGGCTGACGAACTCTCCAGCATTCTCTGGGCGTACCATTGCACCCCCCAGTCAACAACGCAGGAAACGCCTTACAGGCTGACTTATGGAACTGACGCCATGATCCCAGTGGAAGTCAGGGAGGCATCTCACCGACGTCAGGTCTTCAACAGCGAGCAAAATGCTCAAGAAATAGCAGCTGACCTTGACTTGATTGACGAGCTCAGAGACGAAGCTTAGAGACGAAGCTCAGATTCATGAAGAAGCTTGCAAACTCTGAGCTTCCAGAAGATACAATACGCGAGTACGACCTCGCTCTTTCCGAGTTGGTGACCTGATATGGCGACTATTAGGCAAAGCATTGAGAGACACATCAGACGGCAAGCTCGCACCCACCTGAGGTGGCCCATTCCGAGTTGTAGAAGACTTGGAGAACGGGGCATACCGACTGGAAGAACTCAGCGGAAAACCCATCCCGCGAACTTGGAATGCCACGCATCTCAAGTTTTATTTCAGTTAACTTTGTATGAATGAGCTGTGCACTCTTTTCCCGACTCAGTCTTTTGTCCCAAAAAACAAAAAAATGGGTTTTGGCTGAGAGGGTTTTTAACGAGACACACATAACATCAATAAAATAACTCATTCTTTTCCATTCATATCTTCTTAATTCTGCATCATTTCACCATAAGATACTTTATGCTAAATCGAGGTCGAGTTCGAACCTTGGTACGATTCACTTCACTCTAAACCGAGGTCGAGTTCGAACCTTGGTACGATTCATTTTACTTCAAACCGAGGTTGAGTTCGAACCTTGGCTCGATATATTTTACTTTACACCGAGGTCGAGTTAAAACCTTGGTACGATTTATTTCACTCTAAGCCGAGGTCGAGTTCGAACCTTAGTAAAAGTTACTTCACACCGAGGTCGAGTTCGAACCTTGGTACGATTTATCTCACTCTAAGTCGAGGTCGAGTTCCAACCTTAGTAAGAGTTACTTTACGCTAAATATATATATATATATATAATGTAGAAAGAAGTTTAAATTTAAGTTATTTGTATAATATTTTAAGTTGGAGATTTTGGGTTTTTGTCAACTCCATGTCATTTTCATAAAACAAGTTTAAAGGAGATATACTTGTTTGTGTTGAATAATTGTTCTTTGTATTGTGAAATTTATTTGTAAATGATTGGATTTGAATTCCAATGTAAACCCTTAGATCTTGTGAGATCCATAATTCCCGATTTCATATAAAAGTGGTAAAAATTAAGTAATTGATTGACCAATGTGTTTAGGGATTTGGGTTTTAACCTCAAAGAGATGTTTTTAGGTATGTGTTTAAAATCCTTAAAGCCTTAAAATACAATAGAACGAAATGGTAATTAAATTGACTAAATAATCAAGTTAATATGAGTTCAAACCTTTTTATTATATTTTAATTCGTATAGAAAGTTGTGAGCCTAATCAAACATATTATATGACATAATTAGGCCTTATGGGTATTATAGAAATTATAGTCTTGGATGTTAACTTTTCAATGACGTTAAAATCACTTTAAAAGTATGTCTATAACTCAATATATGATAAAAGTAGTGAGCAAAAGTTGAATTGTTTGAATTATACTAAAATGTTGTGATTTTATAGTTTTTAGTATGGTCAATGGTAAAATCAATACTTGAAGTCAACATAAAAGTTGTAGATAGTTGTCTTAACTCTATAATGACGCAGAGATCAATATGATGGCATATGTATAGGCTTAGATATTGTGTTCATTCCACCTGGAGTCATAAAAGCTTTACATAAGAAAAAATAAGTGTTATGGATTAAGATCAAGTTGGGAAAACGTAATGTTATGAGAGAGTTTACAAAGTATTTGTGATGTGTATAAGAAAAGTGTTAAGATGTACAACTATGTGTTTGAGATGTTATGCTATGAGATGTTTTAAACATGTGATATATATGCATGTTAAGAGTTAAGTTAATGGATCCTTAATGTTGTACAATGATACTTGTGTTTAAGGAAATATGGAATGAGGTTAAGGGTGTTGTAGAGTTTAGTAGTATTCTTACGATTATGTTGTGATACATGTAAACCTTGTGAATACAAAGTGTTGTAAAGTCTAAGCTAATGGCTTAATCATATGAAAAAATGTGGGTATATGTGCCTAGTGGATACAGTGTGCATAGCGTGAACATGTGATATTGAGTCTTGCATTAAGTGTCGTGCGTGTCAAATGCATCATAAGTGTGTTTTGTGATGATGAGTATTGGTGGGGCATACAATAACAATAAAAGTTTCCCTTGTTTAGCTTAGAGATTCATGACCTCAAAGACAATGGGTTACGAGCCCCAATTAGGCCAATGGTGTGCACGAGACATAACTTGTCAAGGCACCATTTTCTTTATGTCTATGGTGTATCTCTTCCTTAACTAAGAGTGTTGGGTGTCAACCACCTTGGTTATGTGCCTCTCATCTGCTTATCCTCAAAGGCTATTATATGAGCCTCCAGACAACACTTGTATTTCTACATGCATCACATACATTTAGAATGAGGTTGGGTGAGTGCACCTTGCATTTGATAATTGTAGTATTATGAACTATATGTCGTTAAGTTTATTGTAATTTGTATATACATGTATATTACATGCTTATATGTTGTTTGTAATTACTAGGGGTGTCCACAAAACTATTTAAAACTAAACTTTTTAAATAATTAAACTAAAATAAATTAAATTATTTTTTTAATAGTTTAAACCAAACTATTATTTTTAGTGTAGTTTATAAAGCTAAACTATTAAAATTAATAGTTCAGTTCACTAAAACCAAATACAAGCACTGAAACTGAAACACATTCACGGATTCGGACTCGCTCAACGTAGCTTTCCAAATCCCCCGACTTTTTGCCAAAAAGTTTCCGAACCAATAGCCAATCAGTATATCTTACGTCTTGTCCAATTAAATTTTTTTTATAAGTAATTTAAATACATATTTTTATTATATTTAACAATTCAACATCCATTCTATTAAAATCTACCCAAACGTAACACGAATTCTTAATAACGTGTGTTTGGGTGTAAAATTTAAATAGAATAATTTATTTATTTTAAAAAATTTAAATCTTTTGAGGTAGAATATTTTGTTTGAATAAAAAATTTATAAAGAATTTAAAATTTAAGTATTTATAAAATTTCTTGAATAATTTCAAATTCTTTCAAAAAAGTAAGAGTTTGAAATTTTTCATATTTTTTTTCTTCTTATTCCACTTATATATTTCATCTTATCTCTTATTTCTTCATGTTTTTAATTATAGTTTAGTTCAAACTCCTAGAACTATAGTGCACTAATCTCTATACTAGTTTAGTTTAGTTTA